AGTTTATCGAAACATTTGCGCGAAACGATCGTAGAAACGGGGTCACGGTGAGGCTGCGCTTCATCGCGCGCTTGGACGTTTCAAATGTCAATAAAACGCGATGTATTGTTTATGCCGCCGAAACGACGATTCTTCGAGGTGTATCGAGTGTAATGGGAATTTTGCTTGCAAGCGCGAAAAGTTGCCCGTACACCCGTGCATGCACTCGATTATCTCGGTTTATGTATACTTATAAGTACTTGGGCAGAGGAAAAACTTTTCCCGCTCTTCTTACACCCCTGACGCGAAAAAGCGTTTATAGGTAGTTTCCGAGCTTGGTCGCTCAAGAGGGATGATGAGGTGCTCGACGCGAAAAATCGTCGACTAAAAGTTAGCGGCTACCATACCCTGTACACGCGATTCTTCCATACGTATACGCGTAGGAGACAAAGTAACTGTAGCCAAACTAATTAAATTCAGTCTTTGCCCCCTTCCAAAGGTCAGCAAATAATACGTGAAGCGTTTCGAGGACTCGGGTAAAAAGCTTATAGTAGTATACGCACGAGCTAAGACGAGAAAACGAATGAAGGAAGGTATCTGTTATAACGAGAAAAGTCAGCGAACCCGAAAGTTTCGGCAGAGGTGTATGTGCATAATTTAACAGCACATTAGCGAATTTTGGCTCATCGATAGCACATATACTAGGCATCGCGTAAGTACACGAGAGATGCTGCGCCGCAGAGAGCGATGGCGACTCTCTGCCTCTGCGACTCTCCCCTTCTCCATCTCTTTAAAATATACAATGTGTATAACTATATACGTGCAGGTGAAAGCCTACTCTCGGGTTTCTCGAGGCCTCGGAAGCAACAACAGCACATATATGCACCTCTTACTCGGCACACACACACACACAACTTTGCCTACCTGGATTTTCCAAGGCTACTATAAAACATGTATTCCTTTTCGATGCGTTGTGCTGACGTTACACTGGCTCTAAGGCTTGTGGCACACGATGGTGTAAGCATATGGGTACATATTTTTCGAGGTACCAGGAGGAGGAGGATTTTTCGTCTTGTCGCTCGAGAGACTCGTGTATTATCTGATGTTACATCTCGATTCAGTTTGCGCGCCTCATCTCACGTGATACGAGTTTATCCGTGTGGGCGGGTGGGTGTGTGCATTTGCATGTAAAGGTTTTTCTATGGCTCGTTGTTTGCGCGATGGAATAATATTTGAATGGAAAACAGTTTTGGCTCGAAATTGCTTCTACACCAACGATTCGATGATCGATTCTTCTCCCACTTTTCCTCTTGGTTTCCTTTTTCCTTTTTTTCTCCCCCCCCCCCTCCTGCAGCGCGTTTGAATGGAGAGTCGAGCCAAGGAAAAAAAAAAAAAAAGAAAAAGAATGCCCTCATCCCTCGCGAGCGCAAAAGCGCATAAAATTAGGAGCTTAGGAAAAAAAAAGTTTACGAAACGTGCCGTACGTGCTGTTGGAAAAAATGAAGATCGCGAGCAAGTCGCTCAAAGTTTTACGAAATTAACTGCGACATGGGACTGCTGGTGCTGCACGTCGGAAATTTGATTTCATGCATCCAATGGCAGAAAAGTTTTTCAAACTCTCCGAGCGAAAAGGACCTCCAACGGCGAAACTCTGGGACTACAGGAAAAAAAAAAAATTTGGTTCACCCCTTTCTGTTTACCCCACCCGCAGTCATAAAAAATGATCTCAAACACCCGAGATGATTATGTAGGTATGCGACAAAATTCAGACCCACTTGAACTGAATTGTATAAATACGAGAATGATGATAGTAATGTATGTTCCAACACGAAGCGAAATTCCGAGTCTCGCTTTCGCATGTGGCAAACGCGAAATTAATTCAACTTTTCGTCCGACAGCAGCAACTATGACCAAACAAATCGCTTTCGAAAGCTCGGCGTTTAAAATGTAGAGTTTTTTTTTTTTTTTTAAAACAAGTGTTCGCTCGACTTAGCATTTTCCCCGTGTGTCGGGGTACGGTAAAACCACTCCGTGAGCTGGCGCCTCTGGCGACAGTCGCTTCAACCTGTCCGAGTCACAAATATAGGTATACAGCCTCGCGTACCACAACGGGGCACAGGGGCAGGGCTGAACTTTTCAAAAGTTACGCGCTTAGCACGTGTATATACGAGTGTCGCTCTAACTGCTGGCTTATGTTTTTTTTTTTTTCCCTCCTTTCATTTCTACATTTGACCAACTTTGCACTCGGCTGAATCAGTTTCTTTTTTTTTGCACTCCTTTTTTCTTTCGCAACTCAAAAGCAATAACGCAAACGAGTACGCATTGTCCAACGGGTTATCGTACAGCAGCGCATGGACGCGGAGAGCTCTGCAGTTGTTTAATCAGTTTGCGATGCCCCGTATCGGTGGACGCGTAACTAATCGAATAGCAAAGTCGACTTTATTCATTACTCGCGGAGCAGCCACTCGTATACACTCGATGGAAAGTTTGGGGGTGTCAACGCGCGTTTGTAATTGTTTCTTCACAGCCAAAGTTTGTCGGGATGTTCACGGTACGGACCAAGCAACGCGACGCATGCAAAGGAGCTTTTTTCACAAACAAAACAAAAACAAAAAAAAAAAATGAAAAAATGAAAAAAAAAAGAAGATGAAGGGATAATCATGAGTAGAAAGGCAGGCATTTTTCAGTAAATATCGTCGTCCCCGGCAATATGTGGAGGTTCGATGAAAATAAGCGCTCTCGGTGTAGTACGATCGTTGAAAAAGCCAGTTGGCTGTAGCCGGACGGTGCTACACTTACGGCAAGTCTCGCAGCAGCTGCAATAGGTAGTTTGCGCGGAAAAGGACGGACTCGCGGAACCGGAGATGGAGGAGAAAAATGAAATAACGAGCACTGCATGCAGGTAACACGTACACTAGGAAACGTACCTACACACACACTTGCACACTGCACGATGGGACGCAGAGAGCTATAGGTGGCCCCGAGGAACTTGTATTTGCTGCAGCAGCTCTCGTAATTTCTCCCAGTGGAGGAAGGGTATACCGGTTTCTCCGTATCCCGCCCCTGGATCTCTCTACGACGCTTTTTTTCTTTTTTTTTTTTTTTCCTCAGTGCAGTGGCAAAAATGGAAAATCGACGCGAGGCAATATCGCGCGCGCCAGTAAAAATTGACCCGGGAAAGCTCGACACTGCTCTGATACCTATATATATATAATATACTGTACCCCGTGTCGCCGGAAGAGATTAAGATGATAGCTGAGTCCGGAGTGGGTGGAGCCCGGGGGATTTGAATTAAGATGGGATGATATTAATACCTTGATCAAGACTTCATTGCACGGCAGAGCTGCTCGCGCGGAGACGAGAGGGATAAGCTTTTAATTTTCGAAAACTCGCGTCCGAGACTATGGATGTTGTTTATTCTCTGACTGCGTGTGCTGAGTTTTCCGAAAATTTCAAGCCTCTTGCACGTATAGGTATTACGTATAGCGATGCTCATCATGATTACATACAAATACAATAATTTGTTACATGCGGTTGAGATAACAATGACGTGGATGGTATTTTTCTTTGGAGATTCGAGTTCATAGTGACGCGTCATAAGTATGCGTAATGTAATTTTTAGGAATTCACTTACGGACACGTTTTATGAAATACAGAATGAAAAATCCGGTTCCGCGCAAGTGGCTCAAAGCTGATCGGCCACGAAATACCAGTTTCGCAACTATACAGGTGTTTCGACTTGATGATGCTTAAGCAAGAATATTGAGGTGAATAAAAACAACGTAAGGTTTGTTAACTCGAGCGAGCTCAATAAATTCCATTTCGAAAAAAAAAGCTCCACTCTGCTTTTCCTAACGAAGACCCCTAATTTACGCTTCCCCCCCCTCCCTTTTGCCTTAAATCACAAGCTCGTATATCTAACTGAATGGAAAAAAGGGGGGAAAAAGGACAGAGAGAGAAAGAGCCAGGCACAATGGCACTGCGGCTGCAAATAAAATCCGATAGCTCGATCGCCTCTGCGCGCCGCAGCGAAACAAATGCGCACTTATCGCCTTTCGCATTTGTATTCTTCCAACACGCACACTCGCGACCGCACAACACGAGGCTCGCCACAGCGGCGTCGATTGCGCGACTCATTGTCGATTTCCTACGCTTGTGCAGCCGCGCAATTATATTCGGTAGTTTGGCTTGTTCAGCAAAGACTTTTTCTATTCATCCTTGGAACCGTCAAGTACGGAAAATTGGAACCGAGGCTTCCACCGGAGTGCACATCCATCTCTCGGATGCAGCGCTTTCGCAAGCGGCGATTTCAATGTTTATTACGCGGTTTCGGAATCGCTGGGTTGGATGTGTACATCCCGCGTATAAACCTCGTTGGCCTTGTCTATACACCACAGTCTACGACGCGATCAGCTTCCACGATAAACCCGAGTTTTTCGCAACGCAACTCGCGAGTGGCTATTCATTTGTGAAAATTCATTTTTTCAACGAGGTAAAAATACCATTCGTTAGCACGAAAATGATAGGGTTTCGGAAAAGTGTCGGCACCTCCGAGTCTCAGGTATATATATATTATTTCTCGAGTCGCGAGGTCCGCGTCAACGGGAGAGGCACACGCAAAGCGCGCCAAAGTTGCCACTGTTTTCAATTAAACTTTCAAGTTTACGAAATTAAGCTCCGCGAACTCCAAAGGGCGGGAGAAAAGTTTCGAAGAGAGAAAATTAGTTTCCAACGAATCATCCCCCAGATAGAAAGAAAAAAAAGGCTACCCAGTCTTCGTTTGGAGAACCTCTGGGTATTCCTTCCGCGGTCCTCCATCGCAAACGAAGGAACCAGCACTCGCTCGGAAAGGGGGTGAAAAATCCGTTGTCCTAATTACAAACGAAATCTTTAAAAATCCAGCCGCAATTTTCAAGCCACTCGAGAGCTTTTTCACGAGAGACAGAGAAGGGTATAACATTCCAAGCGCAGCTCGTACACACTTATAATATACATGTAGGTGATCCTAGCACTCAACTCACCGAGGCAGAGAACGACGAGCGCGGCAGCGCGCATCGCTGCATCCATCCTGAATCCCATGCTCCTTTTTTTTTTTTTTTTTTTTCTTCTTCACCTGCGGGTCGTTAGATTTCGCTCTCCTCGGATCTGCCCGTGGCACACATGCAATTCATCCGCGCACTTATTCCTCGTACTTGTTTCGAACGAACAACCAAAAAAAAAAAAACTCTGTTCCCGCGCACTTGATCCTTGCACGTATCCGTGTCAAACAAAAAAGAAACAAAAAACCAGCAAAGGAAAAAAACCGACACTTGGACCACTCGTTCAGCGGGTCATCGTCTCATCTCGAGCTGGGCGCCGTTATATCGCAACGAGGCGCCTCGGGCTCTCCTGATGCACCACGGCCGATCAACGTCATTTAAACCACTTGCACGACGACGAAGGGGGTGTTTTCCAAGAAATCGCACGCGCACCTTTTTTTTTTTTTTACTCCCACGAGCGCACGAAACGATTTTTCTTGGACGCTCGGTCGGCTGAGCAGAGGCCAACGGCCGCCTTTTCCCTTTTACTCGATCTCCTCTCCGCCGCGGAACAAACTCGAGCTCCTTGCACAACACAATGCCTTGTCGATCCCAATAAACCGGACGGCTGTGTACTGCAATATTACAAACTCACACGACACATATGAGGCACATCATCGAACCGGAGCACACGAAAAAATACACTTTGAGCCAACGATCGGTATGGAGATCGATCGGCACACACATCAGCTTGTACCGCAGCGACGCATGTATCAAACGATGATTTGCAATTGTATCGATGGATTTCTCAAAAAACACAAGAAAAAAAATAATACAAAACACCCCCGCATGAAACGCAACTCCACAGTTCGCGTCTACACAACGTATGCGTGTGTATGTATACGTATCGAGGGAAGTGAGGAGATAGGGGGGGGGGTAGGGGGAAAGAGATCGTTAAAAAAGCTTTCGGACAAAAGTCGCTTGCGCACCTTTCAACGGCCGCGCGGCAACTGAGCGCGAAGATGGAAGGGAAGCGGCGCCGAGTGTGTGCACCCAGTTGGCGAACGCGCGCGCGCGCTCTTTCGCTCCCATGTACTTTAACCACCCGCCCCCTTGTCCCTCCACCGTCGCTCGCTCTCTCTCTCTCTCGGACCGTTGGGTATATATATCTGTACGTTACGGCGGCTCCAAAGTGTTTTCGCTCTCTCGCTCGCTCGTTCGTTCGTTGGTACCTTTTTTTCTCTCTTCTCTCGGCACACCGTACATATATATACACGTAGCGCAGAGGTACGGTGTATACGCAACGGCCGGATGGTCGTGGTGTGGCGGTACACCCGAGACGGGTATAGAGAGAGAGAGAGAGAGAGACAGAGAGGAAGACTGCAGCGTGTATAAGGTACTCGTAGAGAGAGAAAGGATCTCAAGGGGTATCCACAACGCGTTAGAGGGTGCAGATGCGTGCTGTTGGACGAGGGGAGTTTTTCGACTTTTTGAATCGATGAATTTTCGTCAAATGTACCTATACATATATAGTATGGCAGAAGTGGCGGATGTACGATGATTTACTGTAAAGTTTTTTTTTTTTATACCATTACGCGGGATGGAGAAATATGTACGTGTGCGAGTGCAGCCTGCACTGTTAGTGTCCAAATGGCACTTGTAAAGGCGGCACTTGAGGCGTTTCGGAGGGCTGGTCGTAAGGGGAGAGACGCTTCAAGTATTACATTATATGTATATAATACACCAATGGCACTCGCTGGGTTATTTCTAGACATTTTTGCGAGCATCGGGCCTCTTCCACCGCCCGCTCTCGGACGTGTTATTTTAGACGGGAAAGAATAACACGATAATACGGGGGCTCTCTCTATCTCTTTGACGGTGCACTTGCAGTGCACCAAGTCGGCGAAAAGACGCGCGGAGGCTTCCCGTGAGTGGCGGTGTGCCGTTGGCCCAAGAAAGAGTGCACCACTGCAAAATTTTATCACAGTTTCCTCCAGAGATGCACGGCTGTTTGGATGTTTATCTCCTTCCTCTTGCCTTTTTGTCCCTTTGCCAGTACATCATGTAGATCACATTGTTTTACGCTTGTAACTCGCAAGCTTACGAGGAGTTACAAAAACCACCTTGGCCCCGGAAGAAATGACAAACATCGTCCCGAGGATAATAAGGGAGGGAGCTTACGTGGAGGGTGGAAAAAAAACCACGGCTCCCTAATTCGTGGTGGGCGTATACATCTAGAGTAAAGCCGGGGAGGAACGTCAACCGTGGGGTTGTAGCCTATACAGCTATCACTTAATCCACGTACTGTCCCAGCCGGACCGTACTCATAATTACTGCCTCTCTCTGCCAAGCTACCGTATACGTGTATATGCGCACAGGTAGGTCGGACAGCTTGCCAAAATTTCAGTCCAAACAATCGCCAATGTATGTATTAAGTGATGATTTTGAATAAACTCCCTTGCCTACTTTAGGTTTGGAGTTCGCCATCGTAAAATAATGAGGAAAAGAAGCGCATCCTCGCGGTGCTTCGTTTTTTCGTCCCACCAAAGTATATCCTCCGCGTATCCGATGTTCCGGTGAACCCGCAAGCTCTAATTACTAGAGCGACTCAGCGGAAATCCGATATCACTTACCGGGCGCTGAGTCGCCGTCTTCGAAACACCGCTTGGTTTTCCAAGCTCTCTTGATCGCCGGTAGGCCCGTTTATGCACGGTAGCAGGTGAACAGAAACAGTTGCTCAAACGGAGGCTGGTTGTTACACGGCACGAGAGCCACTACTTGTTTTTTGCTTTCTTTCAGATCATCATTTCGGTAAATCAAAGTGTCGCTACCGGCGTGTGTACAGTCATTACGCGTGTACCGCTACGTATAATTGATCGAAAAACCATCCGGGCAATTATACCACTCGAGGTTCTGTGTTTTCAGCGCGAGCCAGCCACTTTGAAAAACGTGAAATCCAAATCCTCGCATCTCGTAGGAAAAGAAGAAACTCGAGAGTAACGTTGTGGAGTTACCCTGCAGGCGTCGAGTCGAGCTTGGCGGGAAGGAGACGAGAGAAAAAGTCCCTCTATCCTCTTCTTCTCTCCGGCGACGTGGAGGTAATATACAGCCCGTGCCCCCACACCGATCGCCGATCCCTACGGCAGGTGGTTCTCTCTCGGCACACGCGCTCGTTCGTTTCAGGGTCGAGCCGATCCATACGCTTATTTATCCCGTACTTATAGCGAGGAATAAACGAACGAGCGTTTGTTTCAGCATCCTTTTGTATATATATATACACGCACGCGCTTCGTAATAGATCGACTCGCGGAGGTCCGAAGCTCCTTATAACCTTTAGCTCGTCGCATGTTCCCATCGATTTTTTCGATCGGCCCCTTCATCGGTGCACGGTTAATTCCCCGATAGAACATACGTGTACAAAAGTCGATGTGTGCGTACAAGAGTCCTCGAGAGTGATGCGTGCGGAAAGAGTTACGTAGCGAATGAAAAGACCGAGCGGAGAGTGCTCTCGTCTCGGGTGATTAGAGTTTACGCTCGAAGGTTGGCGAAGGAGGGGGGGGGGACCTCGATGATGTATCAAGGAGCTTTTAATCCGACCGAGGGAGGATATAGGGATATAAATAAGCCCACCAGAGTTTTATGATTCGTAAAAGTAATTTATCGAATAGTGAGCGCACCCCCCTCTCCTCGTCCTGGTGCAGGATCGATCCTCGATGGCTTGGGCACCTAGGGAGAGTGATACGGTACCGCTGCGCGGGTCTTTGGTGGAGCGGTCCAAGGATGGAATTCCCGTTGTCGAGGAAGGGAGGAGAAAGTCGTACACACAATGGGGCCCGAAAGGTGCCCCTCACCTTTTATATTTATACACGAGGTTGATTGCACTTGGGCTTTTTCTAGCCGTGCGGGCTTCCCTCTGCCCATCTCTCTTTTCCCTCTCTCGTCTTCGACTCGCGTGCACGTGTATATATATATATATATATATATTCATGTACCTACCTCGTTGTGGAAGTGAAATATAATCCTGGAGGGGACCTCGTGAAACATAAATTATCGAGGGGAGGGAGAATTTTTCTTTCAACGCGAAAAAAAACAAAAAAAAACAAAAGCAGGGAATGGGTCGTGAAACGGGAAACATTGGAGCGTGATCGTTGCGAGAGTTTAGCATTTGTCGAGAAATAAGCCACCCCTACTGTATTAGCCTAGTAACTTGGAGTTGGACTAATTTGAAAACGAAAAGTCTTTCTTTGCATTGTAAATTTGTTATCTCTATGTTGTGGCACGCGAATTTTCACTTTTTCACGGATCATTTGCTAAACTCGAGTTCAACTATTTGAAACTGCTAATGGGAGAAAAAAAAGGCAACATAATATTAATCAAGAGCACCCCCATGGCATGCTATGATTTCCGTACAGTTGGAAAAGCGTTAATTTTCCGAATAAACGAGTCGAGCGCAAAAGAGTTGATTATTTGAATCGATAAAAGGGGGGAAGGAAAAATAAAGGAAAGAACAAAAGGTAACCCAATGTTTGGAACAATTTGTTCAACTTCCGCCCCAATGTTCCTCTGGGGCGCAAACAGGCGTGGCCTCGTAAAAGTACCCGGGCCACATAATATTCTCGGCAGCGCATTTATACCTCCTCTATAGGTATAACGTACACACACACACACACGTGCACGGCTCCCGTCCCTCTAATCGGAAGGTTTTCGAAGAGTGTATTAGTCGCTGCCTACGCATACACACCCACAAGGTGGAGAGGAAAAGCAGAGCTCGCCACACACCTGCCAGCTACTCTCCTCCGCTCGAAAGAGCCTCCTTCTTTTTATATTCCTTCGCTACTTTTACCATGTATACGCACCACTGACGGCTCGCGGCTACGCATGAAAATATCGCATTAGCATCCAGCCCGTGGGGCTCTCTTTGCGCAACGTGTATATACACCCCGAGAGAATCCGAGCAAGCTCACCTCTCTCGTTCTCACTCCATCTGCCCACTTCTTTTCCGCTTATACATATTCTGCCGGCTGATGTACACGGTGTACGGTCACGTACGCGTGCCCCTTGCTCTCTTTCGCTCGTGCATTTTTTTTTCTCCCCCTCCCAGAAGCTCCGAGAGGAAGACGCGGGCGCGTGGCCCTATACGAAAAAGTGCTGTACATGCCCGGTAGGTATACCTTGGGCGATCTGTACAATATCGTATGTACACGGGGCACGCGACATATGGCCCTCTGGTGCGCGCGTTGACTTTTTGGGGCTTCCTACGTCATATACACTTACGCGTTGTGCGTTTTCAAGCCCGTGTCCCTGCTGCTGCAGTGTACCATACAAGTTCTTTCATGATCAGGTAGTACCTATACCCGATAGCCTTTGATGAAATATATTACCCATGTTGCATCCAAACGGAGGTGCCATATTTTTCTTTCGTCCAGATGGGCCCCTCTTTTGTGTATACGGCGTTTGTTATTGATATTGGTTCTTTGGCGCGTGTATGCGGGACGAGAAATATTTTCCGTATCAAGAGTATGCTAATGGGCCATAAATTCGGGTCAAACTCTCTCGGTGTAGGTATAGCAAAATTTGCCACTGTGTATACTTACTGAGTCTATATTGAATGGAGAATGGTAATGGACGGAGGGGCGTTTTACGCGGGTGACGTATACGGGAGCTCGATTTATTTTTACACGACCATAGGAGTGTACGGTGGCGCGATGAGTTTCTAACGAAAGTATGAATAAATTCGTACGTACAGGCGTGCGTAATTTGATTGATATGTTTATCCCGTGATACCAGAGGGATAACCATTACAGGGGCTTTATTTGATCTCACTGATTACCATACGAAATTTATTTGAAACACCAGCTTTTGACACGAGTACCGTACGTGAAATCAACGTGATTTAAGGGGCGTTGATAAAAAGTAAAAACCAAAAACTCCGGAGGGCTACCGCAAAGTCCCAGCTTTCCATTATTATAATGAAGATGAGGATCGGGAAG